CTAGACAACGTACTGCTGTTCAGGGGGCACGGCAGGAAGCAAGACACTAAGTAACCAAGGGAGATGACTCCATCCTGCAGTCAGAAGAGCCCGAGTACTGAAAAGAACTAGAGGTCTGGGGGGTTGATACAGAGTTCTAGCTCTTAATTATTGTTTTCAAACCAATATCTGGTTTGAAAGCTGGATTATTTTTTAAGTCTAGGGAACACATTCCTTTATATGATTCCTTTAATCAGTATAGGCTTACCTATTTGAAAATTGTTGAAATTATAAGATACACTCCTACCAACAGCAGATTTTTTTTTCACACTTCTGAAGTAAGATAAAGATTTCTTTCCTCCCAAGGGTAAGCAAACTTTTTTCAGCAGTCAACAATGACTGTCAGGATACAGAGTTGAATTAAAATAAGTGTAGCCAGGTTTTGGCTGTCATCATTTCTTTCTAATTAGTCTACAGGCTGGACTTGAGAAAGAAGGACAGTTCCTATCCTCTTTTTGCATGTTGTCCATGATTAAAGTCTGCTCTCAACTGCTACAACAGAAAGAACATGAGACATTTCTAGGACTCAAATATCACAAGTGAAGAGAGGTTCTTCAGAGAGTTCTTGAAACAATATACTGATACTTTGATAATTTTTGTTGATGTAAAAATACATACATACATATGTGTGCGTGCATATATATATATACACACACACACACACACATTTGGAATGTGGCTCAAAGCTAAAGCATGACCATGGATTTGGGTAGTAGAATACAAGGAGCTATGAGTGAGAAGTGACACTTTGCTCCATGTTGGTAGGAGAAATGTGTCTCCAAAGGAGGAGCTCTGAAGAAACTTCCCAAAGAGAAATGTTGATGGTTTCCTGCCTCTTTGGCTTGCCTTAGTATCCTTTTTGGTTTTGTTGTTCACCCTCTTGCTCCTAAGAGGCGGCTGTTCTTCTGTCTTGCTACATTCTACTGGCAAACAGTCACAAATACCAAAGAAAAGGTTTCCAATGTCAGCACTCCACTCCTCTCACATTCCCTCTGACTCACCCCTGCCCCTGAGAATTCACATTTGCTGCACACACACCCTCAGGAGCTGAATTCTGACAAATATGTAGCTGATTCATAGCGATATTAACAAAACGACAATTTTTTCTTTGAAGTACTTTCCATCAAGTATGCAAATTTAAGGTCCATGTTCTGTTTAACAGTAAGGGATTATATTTGTCATTGGTATTTCTAAGATAGTATTTCTCCTCTGTGCTGTTGAGCTTTTCTGTATAACTGAGCTACTTCAGTGGGTACGCTTGCAATAACTGTTCTCACTCCAACTGCGTACACGGCATGATTAATCTTTTTAACTGTAATGCATAAGGGCATATGCCAGAGCAGCAAACCCTTGGAAAAAAGGTACAGTGGCAACAATGAAAATACCATATACTGATAATACCATTATTTGTACCTGTAACACACTTGCTTTCTGTTATCAAGAAATGCATGTCCAGCTTGTATGTATGAATGAAGCACAAAAGTGCCATGACACTTCATTCTTAAACTCTCACTTGACACAGTTTTCGTGGTTTTTCTAGGCTAATTTAAAGAGAGAGATATTTGTTATGGGTAAACCTCCTCGTAGCCCAGTGATGACTAAGAGATCCTGCAGCTCACCTGTCAGAGGTCACAGCTATTCACACAGGGTATGGTACTGGATGCCCAGTGTGCAATAACAGCATTTCCATAGAAAAGGAGCTCAGTGTCTAGTCTTTCAGTATTTTGCTGTTGCCCAAGTGTCTCAATACTATCAGTATGCCGTGTTTTCTTCCTGTTGTGCCTCTGTGCCATGTCTGAGTAAAGCCAACAGGTCTGTGCGTGCCAAAACTTGTTTTATAAATCCATTAGTGTATTGTATCTCTGCAGTACTGCATAGTATTTCCAGTGCTACAAGATGTACGAGATCAGAGTTCTTTATATTTAGCCTGTTTTTTCCTAAATTACTGTTTCAAAGCATTTCTGGTTTATTAAAAATACAGCTTCTAAGAGTCAAAAATTTATACTGAGGCTGATTTCTTGTTTTCGAATCCATGTCCTTCTTTTCAAAATGTTCTGTTGCTGCTATATCATGTTCACTTAATACTGTCTTCTTTATCCAAGCACTGTTATTGCAGACCTTCATACTCCTTAGCCTTTCCCATCGTATCTGTAGTATAACAGTAACATAACTGTAACAATTTTACCTATCCAGCAAGTCAGATTATTTAGAGTTTGCATGTGATTCACTCAAAAAAGTGATCTAAATTATGAAAAAAAAAAACCCAACCTAAATTACATGAGAATTTATGGCTTATGTTTTACTTTCAGTTTCAGACTAAATTACTCTTTGTATTGGTTTCTTAACATAGGAAGGACAGAATTCCTGTAGCAGCAGATCAACACCATCGCAAAGAAAAGTCCAACTGAGAATAAGATCCATAAAAAAGGGATTAAGCCTTTAATTTTGCGTGTTACTCCAAACGAGTGGCATGTAATCAGTATATTGAAAGGACTGTATTGGTCAATGTTTAGTGCATTTACGTCTTTAATTCCAAAACTACAGGACAACACAAATTGTACATCTAATTTTCATGTCCAGGACTACAAAGAACTATTATAAGAGCATATCAGTCATGCATGAAAATCAGGTGTACAAAGGGGACCATTGACTTGACTGCACATTTTTTAATGTTTTTGGGATTAGGCCCTACAATTTTTCCCAGAAAACAGGATAGCATAGTGAGTTGAGCTGTAGTTGGAAACTAGAAATCCTGAGCACTAAGAGCTACTCAGTGATGCGTTTCATGGTATCTCTTGAGCTAAATTAGCCAGACCTTGCAACAGTCCCCATTTGAGCCATTGCCACTGTATATGGGAATGAGAGCTTACGGAAACAAAATGGGGAGAAAGCTTCTTGATGTCAGCTGGGGTACTATTGAGGAATGTATTTGGATAGGGAGAGCGCTCCAAGGTCCCCCGGGGTACTGTTGAGGAATGTATTTGGATAGGGAGAGCGCTCCAAGGTCCCCCTGTTCAGACATACCGCGGGTTACTTCACCCTGGTTTTCCCAGATTCTAATTCCATCAAAGTTTTCTCTGTAGCAGTAACATAGAGTTGAAAATCTTCACTTACCTTAATTTTGTCAACTGTTTTTACAGTAGTTAGCCAGAAATAAAATGTTCTAAAGTGTTGAAGCATCTACAGAAAAAGAAGATAATACTGACCTACCTAATTTCTTCCTGGCTTGGTATATGTTCAAAGCCTTAAGTTGTTTGTAGTATTGTTCAGGACATTGACTTCTTTGTTTGCATGAAAAATCCTAAACTTTGACTGAGTTCTTTTGCATCTCTGTTTTTGGCATTCAGCTCAGTTATGGGCCTGATGAAAGATTAGCAGAGAATAAGATCAGATTCTAATCCAAATATCAAGCAATCTGCCCAGTCGAATATTCTCTTCTTACTTGACAAGCCAACTATCGAAGGCAGCTGACTGAGAACTAGAATGTCCAATTCATAATCTTTATCGTTGGATTCTTCGGTTAAAAGTATCATTCTTGTACACTGGCAGAGGAGAGTTAAACGAGGGAGAGTGTCAAACAAATTTTTTTGAACTTTGAAAACCTCTTTCCCACCTAACTGTCATTAATATGAATAAGAGTGATGTAGTCCACCTGCCTGTACCATTAGACACCTTTTTAAAATTATACTCTACAGACTTTAACAACTTCAATTTCATCTGGAGCTGTTGGGGGGGGAGGGGGAGGAAAAAAGAAAAAACATAGTGTGTTTTAACATTCAGTTGATATCATCACGCTGTGGGTTGTTTACCATGGCCTTCTCTCATGGAAGACTGCGTCATCTTCAAGAGTAAACTGAAGCAAGATGAACTGGAATAGTCAAACCTGGGAAAGAGAAAACCACGGAGCAATAAGATAAATCCCATGGCTTCCAGATCAGGTTGCAGTTTACTTAATTCATAAAAGAAAGTGCTATGAGCTGTGTTTGATATCCACACTCCCAAAACAGATTTGGTTCCCAGACTCGTATCAGACTGTCAGTCTCTACAGCACGACCACAAAGCATCCTCAGCCAACAGAGAATATGATCACTGCTCACATCAAGAGCTCTCACAAGCAGCTGCTCCTGCACTGTTTCTGGCCCCAGCCAGATTCTAATCTGTATAAGTCAATGTCTTTCTAAGCAGATATGGTTTCTGTAGGTTAGTATTTTTCATTTCCATGATGCCCAGATTTATTAGATATTAGTGGTGGGTAACGTTCTATTAAGAAGGAGAGTAGTTCCTTTCATAAAGCTTTGCACTGGAAATACAAACTACTTTTTCCCCTGAAGCAGAAGTGTTAATTTTGTTTTCACAATTACATGCATTCTTTCAAAAATTCTTTCTGCTCTTTGCCTCCCAACAGCCTGCATGGCTTTGTGCTCCGCCTTGAGATGAAACAGAATTAATTAAAGCATAGCATGTTATGCCTGCCAAGTTAGTACTGTGTGTGTGTAATGTAAATCAGTACGTTGTTTGTCTATGAATATTCTAAATTCTGCCATTACGTATAGGAGATTTTATTTCTGTTTATCTAAAAATATACTTCACCCAAGGAATGTGTAACATTCACCAGTTGCATCTGATTTTTCAAATGCTATTTCTGTTTCACAGTGAAAAGGCAGCAGGGTTCAATTCCATACTTTACTATAAATAGAATGGACTGTTGATAAAGTTCGCAGTTTTGTTTTAGTTTTTATTATGTCCTCCAAAATCAGATCTTTAAATGTGCCAAGATTCTGTTGCTTGCGATGTCTCTTAAGACTTATTTTGTGAGTTGGAGGGGGAGCAGAGGGGGCAGAAGGTGTTGTTTTACACAAGGTAGAATATGAACTCTCAGGCAACTCTGTATCACGTCCCTATCCAACTATTTGGACCTTAGACTATAAATCTTTATTACATTTCAAATCATTTCATTTCAGCCACAGCGCCCTGTGCTTGCTCATGAAAACATACACAGTGGGGGGGAACCGTAAGTATACTTCTTGTCTACTAAACCAAACCCTAACATTTAAGCAATACCCAGCACGTAGTCAAATAATGTGTTGACCTGCCAAGTACAATTATGAAGAGATTTTGGAAATTTACAGGTAACCACATGATGTAGGAAGATAGCCAAGAAGGTCCCAGAGGGCAAAGCCTTAGTTGTTTATTTTACATCAAACTCAGACAGATGTGCCAACTTCAGTTCTCCATCATTTATGCTTAAAAGGGATAATAATTTTGTTAAAATAGTTTGACTTTATTCTCTCCAGTTTTACGCCTCAGCAGAATGTCAATTAAAGATTTAACATTGATTCAACTCATCTGCTTTACTGACTTGACACAAATTATTCAGAAACAGTTCTGAATGTGGAGAGAAAGAAAAAAAAAAAAACCGACTTGATAATGTTGGTCACAGACTCACGTTTTCTGGTGTAATTTACATGTGCAATTTAAAAGTTAGATATAAGAAAGCCTTTCTGAAAACTGGAAAAGAACCTAGATCTCAAATCTTATTTTCACAAACAATGTAAGCACTTGGGATAAAACATGTAAGGCTATTTCAGTGATGACTTAAAATGCAAGTTTGGTGCAAGATTATATCGATTCTCCCCCCACCCTGCAAGTTTTGCACTCGGGTCCTGCTTCACTGATCACTGAAACCAGCAGCCATTCTTCCTCTAGCATCAGAATTCATCTATTAAGTCATACTCCAAAATGTAACTAAGGCTTAGCATCTAAAAATATTTAAAAGTTTATCTGTTGGTCACTTTAAGAAATGGCAAGAGGGGCAAAAAGTTACCAAATAACTATACCACAGATAACATAATGAAAACTGGACATTTTGGTTTCAATATCACTAAAGCCACAATCTCTATGTTGGATTTTTTGGGTGTACTGAAGCACCTAACTGTTTTATAAGCAATAATTGTCTAATAAAGTTTGTTCAATATAGTTTAAGTAGTTCATGACTAAAGTTACTTATTCCTAAAATTAAGGAGAAAGATACTTAAATTGCCGGCCAACCATTCTTTTTCTTGAATATAATTGTTAGTGTTGTAAATGGTAGTAGAGTTTTCATATTTAAGAAATTCTTAGATTAGCAAAGAGAAAATGAAATGACTACAAAGGAGTTATTAAAATAGATTCTCTATATCTAGAAGTGACTAAGATTAGGTTTCTAAAGTACAAAGAGTGCTAATTAGGAATTTCTTGTTGTGGTACTTGAGTAAGTAATTGGCTTGAATCCTATTCATGACACATTACATCTGCAACTCCTGTGGCTTTGGAAGCTGCTTTAATCATTTTTGGAATATTATCATAGCTCTGCTTTCCTGGAATAGTGATAAGCATGACAGAAAATGTTATTGCCATTTAATTTTTTTGCAGATTGTTCTTACTCCTGCTACACAAATTACCAGAGGTAATTGCTTAAATAACCAGTCCCATTCCATTTTGTTAGTGTGATTAAAATATAAAATTAGACTTTTCAGATTTAGGGAGATAACTGCCAGTCCTGAGGACTTAAGATAAAAATCTTTTTTTTCTTGGAACAACGTCTTTTTTTTCCTCCAAATCAGCAATGTGAAAAATAAGTGTAGTTTATTCAAGACCATAATTACAGTAAGCCTAGCACTGGTCTGTATATAGGATTTTCAAATGGGACTTCTAGGAGCAGGAATTTTTTCCTGGAATAAACATCTCATTTAAGCTACGGAAGGTCTACCTGGATGATACAGAGCTAATGGAAATACTCAGCACCAACATTATCAAAGGGGGAGTTATTTTGTTTTTTTGGCGGGAAATGTAATGGCATTAAGGTTTTAAAGTCAATGAACTGTTGCTAAGAGGGAAAAATGGACATGATTATATTTGTTTCATTATTTTGAAATTAAAACCGTTTCCTTTGTACAACTTCTGCTGTTGTACCCTGCTCCTTTCCAGACAGTCATAGCTGGGGCACAGATGATAAAAAAAAAAAAAAAAAAAAAAAAAAAAAAAAAAAGGCAGATTCTGACTCTGCAGGACTCATGGGTTTTTGCAGCAATCTTCCTGGGGGCTGTCAGCCTAAGCACCTTCACTCTTCCATTAAGAGTTTATTGCCATTCTTTTAATTCCAAGAAATTCGATTAAAAGCTGACAAGGAATGAAAGATAATATCTCATACCTCTTTCCATTTGTCCACCTTACATCCTTCAATCTGCAGCCCCTGTCCAGGGTTGGAGGTGCAAGACAGTGTCTGAATACTGTTTGAGTTTCCATCCTTATATCGCCTGATTTATTCAAGCCTCTCCATCACTCACAGAGATATTTTATAGAGACACAGCAGGGGCAATTTTAACTAGGAAAGGGGTTGTGGCTGTGCGTTTCCAGATAGCAATTACTCTTCACCTTCCCTACAGAGGTAGGCATCTCTTTTATATGCAGAGCTCCTATATTGCCAAGTCTCGCCTCAGTAGTTGCGACTGAGGATCCCAGGGAGGTCCCTGTCACGGTGGCAGTGTGTGTGAGCCACTCTCCCAGGCACCCTCCACCACCGACTGCAGAAGGACGCCAGGCACCTTGCTTATGCTCAGTGGTACTTTGCTCTGCTGCGGCAGAGAACACACACACTAGGTTCAGCTTTCTGGAGCTTAAAGGCAGAGCCACAGTTTTAGGTACTGATCATGGGGAGTTAAGGGTCTAGCACATCTACAGACTCTCCTCTACAAGTCCTCTGTTTTGGTGACTCAACTATAAAAATAATGCTAAAAAAACCCCACCCCAAACTAGAATTCTGTGTTCAAAGCAACTGGTTGAGGAGCCATCAGGCTTGCCTTGAGTCCCCAGTCTTTAGTGTCTGATGAGTTACTTTTCCAATTAAGTTTTATAAATTTACTATAGTAAGTACTTAGCCCTGAAGTCCTTAGCCCTGAAGTCCACCAGGCAAAATAAACCCTTTTCCCCTATATTTGCAAGAAGCGTTACTTAGTAATTAATGTTTAAACCGTCTCCTTTACTTGCGGAAAGGTGCAAAGAACTCTTGCTTCTTTTTAAAATGCATCATTTGTCCTATTTAAGGTTTCAGGCTCTATATAACTATACTCCTAGGAATGAAGATGAATTGGAGCTCAGAGAGGGAGATGTCATTGATGTGATGGAAAAATGTGATGATGGATGGTTTGTGGGTATGTTTCAACTCAGTTGCTTTTTCTTT